CTCGTTTGTAAATTTCTTATGTTCTTATGTTCTTATAAGATCCAAACTGGCTTTTTTGATATAAAGGCAATGGCACAGTAATGCGGCTTACAGTCTTTCTCAGGGCAGGAATTGAAGCAGAAGGCCCTTGAGCATCGCACAGCAGTCTGCTGGAGAGGTTTTCCCAGAAGTCAGGGCAGCTGGACTGTGACTGAGCTCTCGTCCAGGGGGGACAGTTGAGTTTCTGGGTTCACAGCTGAATTTCATCTGGCATCCAAGTGTGGCACTGGAGGAGATGGCGATCCATTATGAAGAGTCAGGTGCCCTATGAGAGTGAAACTCAGGACATTTTGGGCTTTGTGAACCCGTGGGATGTTATTTGTTGCACTTGAAGCCTGACAGTAAATTTGTACCTATTTTGCTCCTCTTTCCGGCTATTACATCCTATTATCTGCTGGCCCACCGCCCAGGCTGGATAGAATCCCACATACTGGCTCTTGATGAAACATGAAGACCATTCAAGGGCAGATAAATAGTTATCTTTAAATTATCGCGCAATGCATTGTGGAGTCGGGGGGTAAGATATGGATATTACTTTTTTGGGGGGAGTTCAGTTTAGTCAAAATCAAAATGAGTTCACAAATGCTCTTCTGCTCATCCAGTGGACTGACATGGCAAAAGGTGGGGGGGCGGGATAATTAATTGTTTGCAGGGCATTGTGGTATACCATCCATTCATCCTCTGTGCCTGCTTTTCCTATTCAGGGTTGCAGGGGGTCCAGAGCCTAAGGGCCAAAGGCAGGGGACCACGCAGGGTGGGACACCCACCCATTACAGGACACACTCATGTACAACTGCAGCCAATTTGGTAGCTCCAGGTCACCATAGCATGTTTTTGGACTCTGGTGAGAAACCAGAATACCCACATGGGGAGAACAGGCAAACTTATAGTGCCATTACAGAGATCTGAATCCTGGTCCCAGATGTGTGAGGCAATTGTTCTAACTACTGCAACAACTTAGTATATAATGCAACATCTGAACCCAGAACCAGCCAGGTAACATTTCCATAATGACAACATGGAAACTGGATGATGGCTTTCTTACTTGGTAATATATTTCTAATGCATTTTCCGAAGGTATATATATATATATATAAGGTATATATATACTATTTATTTTAACTCTAAAAGAGCTCTAAAAGCTGAAATTACTAATCTGCAGGATAGTAAGGGTCTTATAATTGAAAACGACATTGATAGAGTAAATGAGTTCAATGATAGTTTTGCACGGGTATTCACTGTTGAGGACACTAGTAACTTACCAGTTCTTATTACAAATCCAGCATCGTCTATAACTAATATATATATATATATATATATA